GAATAGGTGTTATATTTGTGATCAGGGCCACTGATTACCACTAAAAACGAATTTTCAGTCAAAACAATTGTTTTGACCTTCTTGGGTTTGCTTATTGGGTTGTCCGGTGTCCGTAGCGTCAACGATACGCATCGCTGTTACGAAGATGTGAAACTCCGCTCACACTGCCGACCAAATGGTCGGCCCAACAACCCGAAAAAGTCAAGAAAAATTTTTTCGCTCAAAACTTGCTCCTAGGGGTAATCGACAGTCCTGATCACGATTCTAGACTTTATTTTCGGTTTCAGTGCCATCTGGCACCGGCATAGCGCCGAGGAGCTGAGTCTGTGCATACTAACGAATTCGACAACGAAAAAAGCATGTTTTTGTCCAATATGTAAACCAGTAGGCATCGCTGTGCAAGCGATTAAATCGCGTGCGGGAATGGAGGTTACTCTCGCCTTAGGCGGTCGGACCGGAGAGGTATGCTAGGAGACCAGATGACATGGGGATCGCCAAAAAATGAAAAATTGTAGAAAAGCAAAATTTTGTCCTCCGTGGGATCCGAACCATCGACCTATTTTTTACGTTTTTTTTATTCGTAGAAGCGCGCACGCAGGAGGAGATGAATGGAGACGCGCGAGTGGATGGTATCGGTCGCGCGGTGCCGTAGAGTGTGCCTCGGGGCGGGCATACACGATGAGAGGGCAAGGACCGATGGTTTGAGAAAGGGAAAGCTCAGCCGACGGGGGGGAGACGGGGACCGGGCGACCGCCTGACTGACGGACCCGGGTCGCCCATTGTAAGTGTGTTTTTCGCTAAGGGAGCCTGGAACCGAGGCCCTGAAGAAGCGCGGACGGGGTATGGATACGGCACCGGGAGTCACCACCAGAAGTGGGCGCCTACCCAAGCTGTGGACCAATTCACCTCTCACACACGGTAGTGCTTGTGCTCGGAGATGAATACACGGTCAGTCTTTGAAATAATGTGGAACCAGAATCGAATATACCAGGTAATAGACGGTGAAGGTTTGCCAGTCACCATACATTCGAGATGAATTTCTTCGTGCTCAAGAACAGATCGATTTGTGAGCAATTCGACGAATTTCGGAGCCATGTGATCTTTTTTCGATGGAGCTAAAAAAACAACTGGAAATCGGTTGTAGGGCATTCCAAAGCAGAAGCAATAGGGTGGGTGAAAGACAGTGCCAGTACGATCCACTTTCTCTCGCTAAATTTTCTCTTCCAAGATGACCGCTCATTCCCCATCCTATCTCGAATCTACCCATTTTCCCTAATCCTCAAAAATCTTTTAGGTTGTAGTTTTTCTCAAGAAACTGCCGTCTAGAGGTGGGCAGGGGGGGGTGGATTTCACACCTCTCACAAGGTATCAGAAACACTGGTTGGTGGCAGTTTTTGAGAATCAGCTGCTAAGAGGGGGGGACTCAAAGCCAGATACGACCCCTTCCCTGCACAGCAACCAAGTACGACATCCCGTACTTGGAACCCTTCTGATGGTGCTGCAACTGTTCCAGAGCGAAAAATAAAACTCACGAATAATGCGAACGGTGCTCGTCGACTCAGATAAGCCATGAATATTTTCTGCCACACAAGTATAGCAGCCAGCATCATCTTCGGTGGAAGAGAAAATGGTCAAAGTACAAACGCCATCATCACATCTGATATCGCAATTGGCTGTGGGCACTTTTTCACCGTCCTTCAGCCAAATGATGTCAGGGAAAGGCGCACCGGTGACAACACATGTTAACACCATTTCGGTTCCCTTTGGTATCTGAAATGATTCAGTGGTTTTCAAAGGATGAGTTACAGAAACAACCCATTCAAAGGGAGAATTCAAGCTTTTTCCACCCTTCACTGTTTCACTCTTTTGAGGCCACAATCCGACTGGAAGTTCCCTTGGCGATAGAGCTGACCAGAAGTAGCCCTAGCGAGTATCCCACGAACAATGCTCCGCTCGGAGTAAAAACACCTTGCAACCGCGCCAAAGGCACCGCAGGCCAGCTTTGGCTTCAGCGCCATTAGCGTACGTACCAGGGCTATCGGAAGCGATATTCGTAATCAGGAAGACCTCGTGATCGGGGAGATCTTTCGGAACACAATTTCAGCAGATTCGGTGATTCCAGGTGTTCTGGCGCTTCTGCTTTCACATATCCAGGCGATTTCATGTCAAACGAATATGACGCTTACATTCAGGGGACAGAATATCTTGGGAGACCGAATGCCAGGCACTCCACCCATGCTGGAAACTTTCCGTCAAAACCTGGATTGAATTTTGGAGGGTTGGGCAGCAAGGGTGAATAGCTTTAGAATTTGAAGGAGAAATAATGGAAAAATACTTACTTCTCGAGGATTAGCTAGGGGCATTCTGAAACGGGGCGCTCGCGTGTAGTCGACTTTCTTCGCTCGTTGGAATCTGGATTCTCCTACTCGTAGGGTACATGTACATTGAGCTCTGCCAACCACATTTCGTGCAATGCATCTGAACACAAAGTAATTATCAGAGCTACGTACCATGTAATATTATTCTGTGTGTAATATTACCTGACGCGCATTACTGCGCGCATGGTCCAGTCTGCGGTCCTGATCGCTGACAGGATTTCTGTGCTGATCCCTAACACTTGGCATAATTCCCAAATTTCTGAATTCGGGCCGCATTTTTATTCCTTTTTGCTGCCTGCTTTAATGAGTAAGTTTGCCGCACGTCTGGTGGCTTATCAACATTTCTTGAAAGACAGACCATGTTCTTGGCGCATGGAACAGGTTAGTGGTTGAAAGAGTTTCCGATGGTAACAAATGATCAAAATCATAAGTGAAATGTGCTTACATTCTAGAACTTCCGTTGAGCAGCTTTCACATATCCGTCTATTGGTGGCTCTTATCACTCCTCACTCATTTTCGTCTATCGGTGGCTCTTATCATTCCTCACTGGCAAACAACTTTTGGCTTCTACTTTCTGTCGAAACTCGATAGTTTAGCGGTCGAAGCAATTTCGGTCGCTAAACTAAGGGATTTCGCTAAGGGATAGAACTAGATAGGCTAGGCTTGCTAAATCTTTGCCCATTGATTCCATGGGCCATGGTGACCGACACCAGTCGCAAGCGGAGTAGATCTGCGGACAGATACTGTTTGGCGGGCACTATATCACTACTTACCTCCCACGCGACCTAATCTACCTAACCACCTCTGATTGCTTAATTGGAAAGAAGTTGCCGGCCCACTGTTGCTGAAACTCGTGCACTGAAATTTTGTGGGTTTCTTTCTGAGTGGGCGCCTTAATGAGATCTTATGATATCAGACGTTGTTACGCCCTGCCACGCCACCAAATAATGTTTCCATCCCTGTCCCCCCCCCGCATCTTTACTTCTTGAAACCGGACGTCTCACTTGTTGCTGGGGTCGAACATTGTTTGACGAATTGAGTGATCCCTTCTAAGGCTCCTTAGTATCTTAATATCACAAGCTGTTATCGCTCCCTGCACACCCACCAATAATGTTCCCATTCTGCCCCCTATCTTACCAGGGTACAGCATCGTTGTGCGAAACCCATAGGGGGGGGAGGTCGTAATCTCAAGTGTCACTCAGAGCCGGGCAATGATTTCGACATTTCAGTTGATAGTGGGAGTGGAGCTATGGAAGCTGAGATGAAAAAAATGGAAATTATTATGAGTGTATTCTTTACAGATTGAACTGCTACGTTTAACAGCCCTCTTTTCATGCAAAATCCCCAAAACTACTTAACGGGTTCGTACTTGGCCGCGGGGGACATGGGGAGTATCGCAAAAGTAGGCTCGCTAGGCATCAAAAGTGTCATTGCTAAGTTTGATGGAACGGACGGAAAGCTGCAGAAGACCCGGATGTAAATAGGACTACAAAATAATAAAAAATCCACTAGCGAATATAGCAAGAATAGCAAGAATAAATAAACAAACAAATAAATAAATAAGATGTCAGTTAATAGCATGAACTACGTAAAGTACGTAGAATATAGAGAAATAATACTACAACAACAGATTCGGTGGCTTATGTCCTTTTCCCAAACCCTAAACACAACGATGACATCTGCTTGCATGGATAAAAGCACCTCAAAAATTAGGATTCACTTTCGATCACACAGCCTCCGGCCACGCTGTGCGTAGGAGAAGTAATGCAACGGCCGCGACACACGGAGCAAATCGTCAAGTGAATAGCCGAGCTCCACTTTCACTCATTTGAAGGGAAATATGTGTTTTGGAGTTTTCGAAGTGTATCCTCACGAAGGCACAGAAGGAGTCGATTTTCGGGTGGGTCAGAGGGTAGCGCGTCTGTGACCCATCTAAAATATCTCCTGAACTAGTGGGTCTTCAGAAAAACTGTAAAGCTTATTGGAAAGAGAAAAGATAGGGCGGTTTCAAGACTATTTCAATCCTGATGAAATTGCGTTCGAAATAAGTAGTCCTCGTGTGAAGTAATAAAAACTCGCTTGCCATTTACCCCTAGCCTATCCAACCCATCCGGAATATTCCACCAACGGGGATTGTTCAGTTTGCAACTAGGTAGAATACACAACAGTAGAAACTTTGCCGTTGCATGCTGCTCACCATTCCTCAAAACTCCGCACCTAAAAAGAATAAGATCCGAAAAAAAACCCAGGTCGCTGACTTCGAGTTACGCGCTCACAATGACGTTTTTTGCAGGGCGAAGCGGTTGATGACCTTGCGAATCGATAATAGCCAAGTATAGAACGATTTACTGCCGCCTGGTTATCCTTTTTCTCATTTGGCTCCGCATTTTTTTTATTTTTCATGTTTCGCTTTGTTGTGTCGTTCATGTTTTTATGATTTTCGTCACCATTCATTGTATGCAATCTTGAAGGCTTAACGACGCATGAGCTTGGGGCTATTTTTTCACCAGTTTAGCTCATTAATGATCACCATTAGTCGCTGTTTCGATTGTGTTCCTTCTTACAAGTTGCATGTCATACATGGTTATCGAACGAGGAGTTTTATTTTGAATCCTAAGACAAAACTGTAGGTAATGCGAGGCTGTTGTTCAGCCTCATATTGCATGAGGCTGAAACAGCCTCTTATTGCCTGGATTTTAGAGAAGAGTCCGGCTTTCGAAATTCCGATTCCATTTCAGGAAGCCATTTGTGGTGAACATGCATCTGTTGTCATTCCGGAGCAGGAGCGTGCGGGGTCGTATCTGGACTCCCTCGGGGGGGGGGTCGTACTCACAACCGCCAAGTTCCGCACATTCCTGTAAATCTTACTAGCTTGGATCCAACGTCCCATCGTCGCTCTGGCCGATGTTATGAACTGGGTAACCCACTCCTTCTAAGACCCCTGTGGCATCTTATCAGCCCTTATCAGTTCCTGCTACCTACCAATAATGTTCCTGCCCACGCCTGTCCGGTCAAACAAGCCACACACACACACACACACACCAGCAGACAAACTTAGCGGATTATATATAGTGGTTAAATAAGCCCTTACTTGTACTCTCCAGTGTCTTTTGGCTGAACGTTCATAATAGTGAGACTGTACTCTCGTTTTTCGTCATCATACTGCGGTCGATAACGGTCAGTGTAACGAATTTCCTCGCCGTTATGGTACCTAGAAGAAAAAATGCTCGTTTCGCTAGTCAAAGCTGATGGAAGCTGCGTAAGTCGCTTTGTGCACGCCTTTTGCAGGGTGGAACAATACCAATCAGCCGTTCTATGTTTACTAAAAATGCTGACGCACCAGAAAATTTTTGGTGGAGGATTTGCCGCGACTTTGACACTGAATCGCAACAGGTCGCCTTCTCCACATCGGACGTCTTCGAGAGGACGATTGAAGCTGGGAGCGAACTGACCATCAGGAACTTCTACAGCCAAGGAGCACGAGCTCTCGCATTGCCCGTAGGCGTTCTTTCCAACAACTATCCATTTCCCTGAACAGAAATATGATGCCTATTACCTTAGCATTGCGAAGTGCGAACTCAACAGCAGCAGGTCTTTCCGGAAGGCACGAGAATGACTTCGCGGAGTAATTAAAACAAAAGCACTTTATAGTTCGCCCCCTTACATGTGATTTTTGGACTGCGCCTTACCATTAGCGGCACAGTCCAGAAATCGCGGGTAAGGGACTGAAGTAGGCATGCCAATGTGCCAAAACACTCAGTATGAAGGGGAAAAAGCTGGAAAAACCATGGCATGTGCTCAAAATAACACTCTCTACAAAGTAATCTTTGACGAAGTGCCAGCAAAAAAGGGCGTGGTTAGACGAGTTCACCGAATAGTGGTCCTTTGCCAGTATGGCCGCCGCAAGTTATCCCAGCTCGTTCCTCATTGATGACTTGCCCCTGCCTATATTCTTTGATGATATTCGGTTCTTCTTGCTCGCCCCAAGCATGCACAGAGCGGTGGGCAGGGCCAGTGAAGGTGGGTGGGGCCAGTTAGGGGAACGGCGGCGTGAGGGCCCTCGTCCGCCGCCTGCCACTTAGGACCCATTTACTTGTTCGAGAGACAGAGGAATTTTCCAGCTTATTGCTAAGCGTGCGTCCCCTCAA